CTCCTTTCCGGATTGTTCCTTCGTTCTTCTTGAGTCCCAACTTGACTCAAAATGCGACTATTGTTCCCTTCCTCCGACTGCTCGGGAATCAATTCAGGTTCCTCAATAGGTATGATAGGTTCGTCCCTATTGTTATGCAACATTTGTCGCATCTCCTCCCTTTGTTCGGCTAACATAGCCCGAATCATGGCTTGCACTCCAGCCATGGTGATCTGTTCTGGTGCTGCTGCTACAACAGGTATTTGCTCAATCACTGGCGGTTGATTCCTGTTTTCATCCGCGTTTCCAACGCCACTCCTTGTTCTCACCATTTTTGATCTACACACCGAATAATTTCACCTTATTACTCCAAACGATTACATGCTAGTTCTAATATCGTATACATACGCTTAGAATCCTAAACACATAAACCTTCAGATCCGGTTGGCAACAAACCGTAGATCCGAACAATAATATCATATATGGCAACATATAACATTTAGCACATAAAAGCATTTTAGGCAACGTTCCTAAAATAAACTAGTGCTTGTGTCTAAAATCCAACAGACACACATCTCAAATTCCACTTAGCATTCTAAGTTTAAGTTTAGAAATCCTACAAATTCCTAGTTCGCTTAAACTAATGCTCTGATACCAACTGTGACATCCCCAAAATCACGGCCAGAAAAGACCGATTTTCATTTATGCTTTTAAAATAAATTCAGAGTAAATCCTTTTGATTTGAAAGAGTTGCGGAATTTGTTCCCAAAACAAAACATGATAAAATAATATTTATCAAAGCATTTCATCAAGAGATGCATTTTCATTATATAATTAAAACTCGGGGTGTCATGTTCCGATACAGACCATTAAGCATAAACAATAACATTACAAGTCATTCAACAAATATATACATATACAGACTTGTAAACAAAACAACTTGATGGTTCGTCCATCTTACGCCCTTGCGCCACTTCCTGTAATACAAATAAAACTGAGTGGGTCAGGCTTGGGAGCCTGGTGAGCATATAGGGTTTTCAACCCACAATAAATAAATTATATTTAATTTCACCAACCAATCACTATCCCGATTACCCATTCCCGTTATCCTCACTTTACGTCCCTAAAACAACATCTATCTCAAGGGACCTAATCTAGGATTTTCATCGGGACGGACATTACTGCTAAGGGGTTTCCTCAACAATAGATATCCTAAAGGCAACCATGAGGGGGATAGAGTACACCGGTGAACACATCGTTCACAACACCTACAGGTTATGAACCTGCTAGCGTTCCACGAGACTGTCTAGAAGGAGTCTGTGGTCGTTATCCATACTCCGCTGAATAACTAGGTCAACAACAACAACATCGAGGCCTCTCATCTGTTTATTACACACCAACTATCTACCCATGTTCTACCCAACATATTAGTAGATAAAAATATATATTTTTATACATAGTTTAAAACCTGTATATCATTTTCATTCAATATATATTCACACAACAGATGAGGCATACCCACATAACACGTATTTCATAGAAAACAAATCAGATCTATGAGATTAAAGAGAGTGAATATACATTCACTTACATAACAACAAAATATACACATAACACGTATTTCGTATAAAATACTTCATAATTATGCGTTAGAAGAAAGTAACTACACACTCACACGTATAAACGACAATAAACTTAATACCTCGAACCATACTTGTATTATTATTGCGTTTATGAAAGGTAGTATACACTCACTTGATCAGAAGATGATCGGACAGCACTACGACTTGCAGAAGTAGTAATCCACAGCAGATCTGGAAGATCTCTACGAAAATCGAACTTCTCGCGGGCAGAGCTTCGGCTCGGAAACCGCACTTCTCGGGATCTTCGGGATCTCGGGACTCGCTTCGGGACTCGGGAATATTATTGGGACTTCGGGGTACAAACGGCACGCAAAACGAGGCAAAAGACTAGAGAGAAGGATGGAATTTGTAAAGGAACTAAGGCTGCCTTCGGATCCTTTTTATAGAGGCTGGAAGCCCGAGTTACGTATAGGGCGTAATTCATGTATGCGGGGCGTACGCAACGTCATTGCATGCGTATGTGTTCGAGTGACGTCAGTGCATGCGTAGCTGAGGCGGTTCACGAGTACGCTGGGCGTACCCCAACTTACGCGGGGCGTACGCTATTAAGCAAACTTCAAACTTGCGTAACTTTTGCATACGAGCTCCGTTTTCGACGTTCTTTATATCCACGGAAAGGTGAGACTACGCTCTACAACTTTCGTTTAGACTCCGTCGGCTAATTTTGACTTTATTTTTATTATTTATTTTTAATAGGCCGGGACAGAAACTTTCGTTATAAATTCATAACTTCTTCGTTTGACGTCCGTTCTCGCCTAACTTTTTATCGCTTTGATACTAACAACGAGATCTTCGATTCTCGTTTAGATCACTAAGGCTAAATATCGCTCTAACGTAAATTCACTTTTTACATCGCGCTGTGTCGTGCCGGTTCTGTCGCGAAACTTCGACAGGTCATAACTTCCTCGTTATAACTCGGATTTCGGCATTCTTTATATCTTCGGAAACCTTGTTTCAACTACTACAACATTATCTAAAGATATCAAGTTTATTTTACACTTAAATTTTGATGCTTATTTTTATTCTTAATTAATCAAACCACATAATGAAGCAATTAAGCACAAAACACATAATACTCAAATAATACAATCTTATTATTTCAAAACGGGTTACAAAGGTTAACCTAGACTATTATACCAACATTAATGACAAGCCCAGAAACACAGGCGTTACAGAAATTCCTAGGAAAACAGCGTTCCCGAGGAAATGTCAAGAAAATCCTGTGCGTCGACGGTAAAACCCTCCTAGGAAATGTTTTGTAAGAGATTTCCGAGGAACTTTCTGACGCATTACCTAGGAAATAGTTTTGTCGTAAGTACTGAGGGTTTTCCTAGGAATTTTGTTTTTGAGGAATCTCCTAGGAAGATCATTTTCCGAGGGAGATTATTTCCGATGGATTTCCGAGGAAGTTTAGTTCCGATGAATTTTCAAGGAAATTTATTTCCAAGGAATTTCTAAGGAAGTTTATTTCCGAGGAAGTTTATTTCCGACGAATTTCCAAGGATTGTTTATGAGGAATCTCCGAGGAAATTTATTTCTGAGGAATCTTCTATGAAACTTTCTTGATAGCTTTTTGTGACACGTATTCGTGACAGAAGTTCCTAGGAATTTCCAATGAACAATGCAGCTATAAAAAAATAAAAAATAAAAAACAAAAAAAAAGCAAAAAATTTAGCCTAAAATGCATAAAAAGAGCTAATACAAAAAAAAAAAACTTAGTTCATTCCATATATCTTAAAGTCATACAAATGTTTACACTTTAGAACATAAGTTTCAACAATCGTGTAAACCAAAAACATAATAAGAAGTCTTAAAAACGTACAAACGTTTACAACAAATAACCTAAGGAGCGTTTGATGGATTGGATGGATTGTCGGGACGGTTATTAGTGTCATATCGTCTCATGAACTCGACCATTTCCGCCATTTGTTTTTCCATTTGTGCTTGTCTTTTGGCCATTTCACCATTTTGTCGGGCCAATTTGGCATGAGCTTGTTCCAATTTCAGGACCTAAAAAATGTTAAAAGAAACATACATACATTAGTACTATAAAAAAAATAGTAAAAACAAAGTATATATTAACATTGTTATCTATCATAGCAACATACATTTCACTAATAAATGGAATGAACTTAAATTTTCTTATTCACAATAGCAACATATTATCATTTTTATATACAATAGCAACATACTTTTATTTTCTATCAATTATAGCATTTCACCTTTTTCTTCATAATACCAACATACTATAAATGTTATTTATTAGCAAAGACTATATACTTTTATGTGTTTTAGATAATAGCAGCAACTTTATTTTATCCATAATAGCAACAAACTTGATTTTTTTAATCTATAATGACAACATATTTTATCTACTTTACATTTTTTATGTCAAGGAAAAATACTCGTTGTTGTGACTGCTGGTACTCATAAGAGGTCAGTTTGTTCCTGTTGGATGATGTCCTCGTGACAACGAAATGTAGATCTGAACTTCCTACCTCGTAAATACGTCTGCATTTGTCTCTCCCTTCTTGTGCTTGCACCCACAAGTCAACATCACCCTCTGGATGTTGAGTTAAGTCCTCCCCGTACTTTTCAACCATGGCACTAGTGTATCTCTCCTACAATTTATCAAAACAAAACGACTGTTATTATTGTACTATTTGAAGTTGAAGCACTAATTATCTATAAAGGAAAAAGATAAATTACAGATATTTCTCTAGTAGTAGGTGTACAAAACTCCAACTCTTGAATTATATCATAATCTTTAGCCTTGAATTTTTTATTGGCCTCTGCAGTAAGGTGGGTAATAAGAAAAAGTTCCAGAAATGTAGGGATATGCTTCACTTCCTTTTGCTACATAAAACACATAGTATAATTAGTGTAATCTATGATTAAGTAAAACCATTTACTGAATTATACGAATAGTGATTTGCATAATTACCAATTCCAGTCGATACTGGTCATAACCCCTGGATCCCCCTGTATGTCTCGAAACTGTACCGGTGTCGTCACCGCTCATACGGTTAGCTCTCCCGGCCGCCGACTTCTTTCTCCAAGCATATGTGTCCCAATACTATAAAAAGATTATGTAAGATAATATATAAAAGGAAAAAAAAATAACAAAAAAACAATAATATATTAATTAGCTTACTTTACACAAATCCTTCCATACGTCCTCATTGAAAGCAATAGGCTCAAAATCACGCATGATTGCAAAGTCATTATCTATGTCCGGGATGTTGTGACCGGCCGCTCGAGCTCTATTTGCAGATTCATTTCAATATTCACTCATTATGTCTGAATAACGATCTTGCACCACACTTCTAAATCCACTTTCGATCATTCCTTCATTTACTGAATCCCACTGATAGTATTTCACTGATAGTATTTCTGTTAAAAAAAGAAACTAAAGCTAAGAATGCAAACATAAAACAAATCAACTTAAGGTATGCAAATTATTAAATGATATTACCCCAAAAGCACGAAACATTTGTTGAAATAGTGCAGGCAGAAGTGTAGTAAATGTGGGCCATGCTCCATCCAAAAATTGATCAAATATAAGCCTAATCTGATGATGTACCTGATAGGATGCAAACCTACAACAGTGAAATATAACCAAATAAGTATTTTTAGAATATGAGTCAACAACATAAATTTAACTATTAAAATGACATACTTTTTTCCGAACTTCTCAAGAAACAACCTATTATCGCCATATCTATGAGGTGTATCTACGACATTCGAGTCGCGTTGCGTACCATCATCATCTTCTTCTTAAGAATCATTGTCAGGGTCGATACCAGAATTGTGGGCCTTATGTACACGACGACGTTTAATTATACTATGCGTATCGTCCATTTGATCAGATATACCAACATCACTAGTACTCCTAGTGTATCCACGACCTAAGTTCTCAGCATCACGAACACTCAACGGTGTAAGCTGTGTACATCCCTGTCGCTGTCGGTAATTAGGATTGGAGTCCTGAGGCCGGCTACCAATATTGTCATGGCCATGGGCAAAGTCGTGCAGTCGACCACTAGTACTGTCATAACCACCACCACAAGGAGAGTCATGTCGTCGACTACCAGTACTGTCACGACCACGAGCAGCAGAGTGATGTGATCGAGGTTGCCTTCCACGGCTACCCGACATAATGTGTGTATCCTGTTGGATTAGTGTCTAAGTCCATAACTATTTTGGTATGTACTTGACCCGATGGTGCATGGTCCTTTTGGGTTGCCTTCACCAAAGCAACTTTATTGGAGAAATAAATAGAGAGAGAGGTTATTATGATTTATTAATATGTTATAAGAATAATATATTAAAGGAGAACTCATATTTGTTTAATTAATATTGGTCAATAATTAATTAAGAATTAATTTTGTGATCAAATGTAATTAATTAAACTAGAGGGGCTGAATTGTAATTATGTGATAGTTACAAAATAAGGTAAGGATTATCCTAAGTATAGGATGGACGAATTTAAGGTGATAATGCCTTAGAATTTGACTATAATAAGGATTCAAGGATTATCTTATGGGTTGTTTGGTAAGCAAGCAACTAGATAGGGATAATGACTGAAACCCTATCTGTACACCTATATAAACCCCCTTGGCTCATGAATTCGAGTAAGACCTTCCCAAGGCTTCTTAGGGACGAATTCAATACCTCCCCTCTCTCCTCATATCTTCTCCATTTGCTCTTGGTGTTTGTAAGCCATTAGAGGAGTGACACTTGTGACTCTAAGCCTTCCAAAATCAATACAAGGAGATTTGGGATTGCTATTGCTACATAACAATCAAGGTAACATTATAAACCTATTCTCATGTTAATATGATTATTTGAATGCTAGAATTAGGGTTAATAGTCTTGGATAACTTTCAAACCTAGATCCTAGCATTAGGGTTTGTATGAGCACAAAGGATGTTCTTAGGACCAAAACCCATCATATCATGCATTTGATTAAACAAGAACAGTTAGATACTACTATGATAATCTCATATAATTTAAAGTGACCATACCAATATGATAAATCTCATATAATTTAAATTGGAAAACAACAAACAATGTTCCTAATAATCAATTTCATTTTCGTCTAAATCGTGGTCAGAAAAATCCATTTCATCTTCTCCATCGCTTGTATATTCTTTAACTTCAAATTCTTCATCCTCACCGGTTGGATTTGTGTGTGTTACTAGGCATAGGCGTTCACTACTAGTTACGTCATTCGGTAACTCAAACCGTTCATCGATCTGAAATAATCCATCTGCTTCTATGTTTTCATCGTCCGCAACTTTGGCTTCAGGTTCGATTCCTTCATATACCCCTCTTGGTATTGTCTTAACAACCGCCCATATATCTTTTTTTTCATTATTCACAAAAGGGTATGTTGTATGAACACTTGTTCTGCTTGTGATGCCAAGATAAACGGGTCATCAGTTTGAAGTCGGGACATGTGTTTAACATCAAAAAACTTATTTTTGTTACCTACTACACCGCGGTTGTTATCAAACCAAAGACATTTAACCATTACAATAGTTGAAGGCCTGTTACCATGATACTCAAGCTCTAGTATCTCGTCCACTAAGTCGTAGTAGTCAGACTCCTGGGCGTTGTACGTCTCCCCTCTCACACATACTCCATAATTACTAGTCACACGTCTCTTACCATATTCCTGCGTATGGAGCTTATAACCATTTACAAAGTACCCATTGTGAGATTTAGCGTTCCGCGTTGGTTTCCTTGATAAGATTTCCAAACGTTTACCATTATGGTTTCCTTCATGTGAGTCTATCATTACCTATATTAACACACACGTATTGTATTGGTTAACTATTTTTAAATATTAAGCATTATGATTTGATTAGTTTTACTTACACGATTTTTAAACCATTTTGCAAAGTATTTATCTCTTAGACACGAAATTGGTTCATCTGGATACATTTGTGGCACCACTTCATTGAACGCGATGACGTAAGGGGTGACTTCCTCACAATTTAGTAGAATATAGGTATGCGCCTTATCAGGTTCTTGAGGAGTTAGAAGTCTTTTTTCCACCTTTTTCATATAACCTTCTCAATGGAAAGACAAACACGCTTATTTGGGAGTCTCCAATCGAAGAGCTAGGATGTTGTGGTGCAAAATTACGCGTCTCTCGATTATGACGTGTCTCAATCGTTTGAGAAAGGTATAGCGAACGATAGGTAGCGATTTCATTCATTAGATGTTCCTTAAAGATTGAACCCTCAACCCTTGCTTTGTTTCTAATTCTTCTTTTTATTAAACCAAGTTTCATGTATTTAGAGATTACCGAGAATATGTTAAGGATACTAAACATAATTTTGAAAAACATTTGATTTATAAGATAGTAAAATGTTTTATTACCTTTCATATTGCTACATCCATCTATATTGTACTTCACCACCAAGAATAGCTTCATCGGCTAGATGTATGACTAGGTGTTCCATGGAATCAAAGAAACCAGGAGGGAATGTTTGCTCCAACTTGCAGATGGTTTGAACAATAGTGTGCTTCATGTTAGTTAAGTCATCTAGATGCAACGTTTTCGAGCATAAGACCCAAAAGAATGTGCACAACTCTGTTATTGCCTCGTATATCTCTTTTGGAAAAAACCCTCTTATAGCAAGTGGAAGCAACCGTTGCATAAACACGTGACATTCATGGCTTTTGAAACCATAAAAACTGTAATCTTTTATGTTTACACAATTCCCTATGTTTGAAGCATACCCTTCTGCAAATTTGAGCTTTTTTAACCATGCACAAACTTTTTTAGCGTTACTTCTTTACAGTGTAATTTCCCCTATGTTTGGTCATCTTTCCATTGTTATCATAATAGGGGTTTAACAGAGGTCGGTCACAAAGAACCTCAATGTCTTGCCTTGCCTTTATATTGTCTTTAGATTTGGAGGTGCCCATAGTTGTGTCAAATAGATTCTCAAAAAAGTTTTTCTCGATATGCATCACATCCAAGTTGTGTCGGATCAACAATTTGCGCCAATATGGTAGCTCCCAAAAGATGCTTCTCTTTACCCAATTATGTTTAATTCCAAAACCATCTTGTTTTTTATATGTCGTATTAAAGGGGGTACCTTCATAAACACTAGGAAAATGTTGGATAGTTTGCCAAATCTCCTCTCCTGTTGGATTCGATAGTATTGCTCTTTTAACCGTTCTATTTTTTTGAAAGTTTACTTATCTTTTAGGAACTTGTGTCCAAAAGGAAGAAACTGTCTATGACAGTCAAATGAACATGGGTTCCCTCCAAAATGAAGTTGGAATGCTCCTGCTTCAGCGGAACAATATGGGCAAGCTAACTTACCATGCGTGCTCCATCCAGACAACATTCCATAAGCTGGGAAATCACTAACTATCCATAAGAGTATGACTTTCAAACCTGTCCCACAAAGGCTCGTTTGCAAGCCTTAACATGGTATAGAATTTCCCGGCTGATTGATTTTGGTCTTGTGGCCCTTGCTGATAATAAGGATCAATATTTTGATGCATGCTCTCCATAACCATTTGCTCGTATATGGTATATTCACCTAAATCGTCATTAATGTCTTGAGCCATTTCGCTGTCTATACATTGACACACACGATGAAATGATATGGGGCTTGAACATTGTCCCACATCATGTGTAGGTAATGATTCTCCATGTGCATACCATACACAATAATTCACCATGAATCCACTTTTATATATATATATATATATATCAAACTCAACCAACTCTCTCTCCTTGAAAATACGATTTTTGCATTTGGAACACGGACATCTAATTTGAAAAACCTCTACCCCTTTTATAATTTTACGCTTAATGTTAGTTGCGTTGGTGTATGCGAAATCCAAGAAAGAATTGACATGTTGTCGAAATACCGGATTGAATATACCATTCTTGGTGCGCAAAGTGTACATCCATTCTCTATTGAATGACATTTTTCGATCTAAAACTAAGATTTTGAATTGGTTATATGTAATAAAAAAGACCTAACAACTTAACATAAATCAAATAACAAAGTAACAAATTAAACGTCACACTTTATTATTAATAAATATTAGAATAAGATTTTTCCAATTAGACAAACTTTTTATAGCATAAAGTTAAAGCCATAAATTTAAAATATTAGTAAAACCAACACAATAAACTAGTATCAATCATAACTTCAAAATATTAATAAAATTAACAAACATTAATATGTTCGTCGAAATTTAATCTATTATTTATGTTGTTTAATGATGTGGTATCCATGTAACAAAGCTTCCATTTTTTTTTTGTTGCACCAAACGTGGCAACCATTAAACAAAGCTTCCATTTAACCTCTTTTTTTTTTTTGCATTATTGAATTGCGATTCCAGGAAATTAGATGTAGCTAACACTTTTCTGCATAACACTTATTTTTGCAAACACCAAACGCAGCTATCATTTAACTTGTGCAAGTTTTTTTTTTTAATATACAACTTTTTATTGAATGATGTATAATTGTTTTTTATGGGTTAGAGTTCAAACGCAGCTGCTATTAAATTTTAACAAATAATTATTTTTTTATGGGTTATTGTACAGGTCTGATGCAAAATTGTTTTTTTTATGAATTTGATGATTTTGCCCTTGGTGATGATTTCAGATTTTGGCACACCAAAAAACAACCAGAAACATAAAATTAAGTAGAATTACATGTTTTCAAGGGTATATATGTCACTTTTTGTCACTATAGGTCTAGAAAGATAAACTTTAATGCATCAATTAAACAATTAAACAACAAAAACTTAAAACATGACACTTATGATAGATTACACCAGACAATAAATCTAGAAATCTGTTCAAACCAAACAAAAAGAAATAAAAAAAAAAACAGAAACATAACCAAATCAAAAAAACAGAAATAATGTTACAAACCAAATCTGGAAAGTGGATAGAAGAATTTTAGTGGAATTTTGATGAATTTAGAAGGAACTTTTGAGGATCTTTTCTAGATAAATCATAAGAGAACGTGATCATCATAAAAAGTAATTACCCTTTTAGGCCTTTTAATTTAATAGCAATTCAATTTTACTAACAAACCTTAACATTATGGATGGGATCAAATGATTGCTACTATCATCCATTTGTTTTCTGATACATATTGTCAAGTTGCTTCAACTGTAGTTAACAATAATAAACCGTTTTCATCATTTTTAAAGCAATTGTTAACATTTTAAGTGTTTATCTTGTGTTGCAACTACAAGTTCGTTTATGATACATATGGTTCAACTGTAGTCGAGGAAATCACACCATCCAGGGCAAAATTCAATCTAAAATCGAAGAAATAAAATTTAAACACATGATAACATAAATCTAAACCTAATTTTCATCATATACCCACTTAAATTCAAAGATTTCGAAAAAAAATAAAAAAAGTTAGGGTTTTACCTTCAAAAAATGATTTGGGGAAGAAGAGGTTGAACTAAAAGGCATTCAGTGTAGTTTCAGTTGACCCAGCAGCGGCAGCGACACTAGCGGTCGTGGTGATGAAGGTGGAATTTGCAGACGAAATTGGGGGGAACTCCGACTTCTTTGGAGTGCAATAAAAAAAACATCGTTGTTAGCTGTGAAAAAAGAATGACGTATAGTATAAGGAAAGTTTATTTAGCTTAATTTCTAGGAATGTTATAGGAATAACGCATTTTATTACTAGGAAACAAAAAAAATCATTTAACCTATGAGTTAAATTATATATATATATATATATATATATATATATATATATATATATATATATATATATATATATATATATATATATATATATATATATATATACACACACATTTTTACCTCAAAATAAAAATAAATAAAATAAATAAAAAATAAAAATAAAAAATCAGTTCCTAGGAAATTCATAGGAAATATTTAGGAACTTCCAACGGATTTCCGATAAATACATAATCATCACAAATTTATGGGAAATACATAGGAAGTTCCAGGGGATTTCCTAGGAATCAAACTAATTTTTTACATTCTTATATATTTAAACGTTATTTTTTATTCGTTCCATACTTTGTGCAACTTTGTGATGTACAAAATGTTTATATCTTACCAAAATATTATGCACATACATAAATATACATATGTACACATACACTATATAAAATGTATAATGATAAACAAATGTTTTGAGTACTATGTTATGTTGGTGTGTGCACTTATGTATGTATATATTATGTGCACTTATGTATGTATATATTATGCATATTGGTAAACTAAAACCAATTAATGTATAATGAAGTTGTACAAAATATTCAGCGAAAAAATCAATGTTTCATATTATAATATTTGAAAATGGATTCTTTTCCTAGGAAATCCCTAGGAAATTTGTGGGAACTTCTAAAGGATTTCCGAGGAAACGCCTCAGTCATCACAAATTTGTAGGAAATGCATAGGAAGTTCCAAAGGATTTCCTAGGAATCAAACTCAGTTTTTCATTCATATTATTTTTTATTCGTTCCATACTTTGTGCAACTTGTTGTATATGAAATACTTTTATCTTACCAAAATATGTACTCTGCACATACATAAACATAAATCTATACACATACACTATATAGAATATATAATGATAAACAAATGTTTTGAGTAATATGTTATTGTGGTGTACGCACTTACGTATGTATAAATCATTCATAACTTGGTAAACCAAAAACAATTCATGTATAATGCAACTGTAAAAAATATTGATAAAGAAAATGTTTCATATTTTAAATCTAGAAAATGGATTATGTTCCTAGGAAATCCCTAGGAAAAATAAGGGAACTTCTGATGGATTTCGAGGAAATAGATTAGTCGTCACAAATTTATGGAAAATGGGTAGGAAGTTCCAAGGGATTTCCTAGGAATCAAACAAATTTTTTTCATTCTTATAGGTTGAATGTTATTTTTTATTCATTCTATAATTTGTGCAACTTTGTTTTACATGAAATACTTTTATCTTACCAAAATATGTATTATGCATATACATAAACATACATATGTACACATACACTATATAAAATTTAGAAAAAAAAATCATAAATTGTCCCTGTGGTCTCCAAAATCTGAAGTTTAGTCCCCGTGGTTTAAAAACCTCATAGATGGTTCCTATGTTTTCAAAACTTTTGACGATTGGTCCTTATTGCTAACTCCGTTAACTTTTATCCGTTAATTGAGGGGCATTTTCGTCATTTCACACCACAATGACCATTTATGATCTTTGCAGTTGTTTAAAAAAAACAAAAACTAAATATAAATATTCAATATATAATCTCTCTCTCTCTCTCTCTCTCTCTCTCTCTCTCCACTGGTTCAATCAATTTCAACTAATTCCATCGTTCATCCTCATTCCCAATCTTATGCTTCACTCCTCTATTGTCAAACTCGAATTCCATCCCAATCTTACCATGAGCGATGGTACGCCCTCCACCATGCCTTCCTCTGAAACCCTGAGTGGGACACGGTGACTGAGAAGGTAGCGACATCAAGCCCAGATGTAACCCCATCGAAGACCTCCGCCCAGTGCCGCCACAAGATGGAGAAGCTCCGCCAGCGCCACCGCGCCGAGAAGCAGCGTGCGTCGTCGTTCCCTGGTGGTCAGTTCTTCTCATCGTGGTTCTACTTTGAAGCCATGGAGGCCATGGAAAATGGACCCAGTTCCGAAACTGTTAACAATAATTCGAGTAATCTTGAAATCAACAACGCAACCCATGTGTCGGATCATCAGAGCTTGAATCCGGGTCGTGTAATTTGATTTAAACCTTCTTTTGTTCAAAATCTGGTAACATTAGCAGCTAGTTCCACCAATTATACTCCTGATTTCAATTCCATGTTTTCAAATCACAATTCCTCATACACGAACAACTAGTCTAATCAAGAAGAGGACAACGAAGATGGATATCTTGATGATTCTACAATCAATGAAACCCCGATTCATCCGGGGTACAAAAATCACAAGAGTTCTCCGTTCACCGGTGGAATTCGTATAAAACCCTCGAATCCTTCTCACCAGGAACCCACCCACCAAAGGACAACAAGAAAGTTTAGCAAGGTTGTTCATAAACATGAAGTCGATGAGGATGGCGAAGTGTGGGTTAAAGTGCCTAGAAACAAAAAATTTGTTTCGGGGGAACCATCAAAACGGAAACAATTGGAATCCAAATTCGAATCAGGGAAAAAAAATAGGGAATGGAGGGATATAGGAGGTGGCTTCTTCGATTAAGCTATTAGGAGATGGGTTCATGAAGATGGAGAAGATAAAGATAGACATGGATAAGGAGATTGAAAGGATACGAATGGAGACATAGATGAAACGAAACCAATTGATATTGGAGTCACATAAGCAGATTGTGGATGCGTTCTTTAAGGGTTTGATTGAAAGAAGCAGCCAAGAACAGAAACAATGGCAGATTAGTAGCTTCTGATAATGTGATTAGTTCTTGTTTTCAGTAATGTGTTTTTAGTTGAGATTAACTCGTTACATGTAAAACTCTTGCACATTATAAAATCACTCCTTTCACATATAATAAAATCAAAAAGCCTTGTCCAATTAACGTTCCATGGAGGAGATATCTGATGAAAAAGAAAACAAAGTAACCTGAATACAATTTATATATCAACAAAAACTAACTTGTTAAAGTAACTGAAAAGCAAACCAGCCATGTATACCAGCATAAGTTTTGAGATGTTTTGTTGTTGCAAACAGGTTTGTGTATATCAGAAATAATTTTGTTTCGTTGCTGTGAGAGAGAGAGAGAGAGAGAGAGACAGGTTTTATATATTAAATAATTATATTTAGTTTTTTCTTTTTTTAAAAGAATAACTGAAAAGATCATAAATGGTCCATGTGGTGTGAAATGATGAAAATGCCCTTCAATTAACGGATAAAAGTTAACGGAGTTAGCAATAAGGACTAATCGGCAAAAGTTTTGAAAACACAGCGACCATCTATGGGGTTTTTAAACCACATGGACTAAACTTCAGATTTTGGGTAACCACAGGGACCATTTATGATGTTTTTTCTAAAATTTATAATGATAAACAATTGTTTTGAGTAATGTGTTATGGAGGTGTGCACACTTAGGTATGTATATATCATTGCATAACTTGGTAAACTAAAAACAATTCATGTATAATAAAGTTGTACAAAATACTGAACGAAAAAATAAATGTTTTGTATATTAATATTAGCAAATGGATTATGTTCCTAAGAAATCCATAGGAAATATGTGGGAATTTACAATGGATTTCCGAGGAAATACATTAGTCGTCACAAATTTAAGGGAAATGCATAGGAAGTTCCAAGGGATTTACTAGGAATCAAACTCATTTTTTCATTCTTATTATTTTTTATGCGCTCCATACTTTGTGAAACTTTGTTATATACAAAATACTTTTATCTTTCCAATATGCACATACATAAACATAAATATATACACATACACTATTTACAATATATAATCATAAACAAATGCTTCGAGTAATGTGTTATGGTGGTGCATACATTTATGTATGTACATATCTTGTATAACTTGGTAAACTAAAAGCATTTAATGTATAATGATGTTGTGCAAAATATTGAACGAAAAAAAATAGATGTTTCAACTTTTAATATTAGAAAATGGACTACGTTTCTAAGAAATCCCTAGGAAAAATTTGGGAAGTTCTGATGGATTTCCTAGGAAACACATTATTCGTCACAAATTTCTAGGAAATGCATATGAAATTCCAAGGGATTTCCTAGAAAGAAAACTCGTTTTTTTCATTTTCATAGGTTCACACGTTATGTTTTTGTTCCATATTTTGTGGAACTTTGTTATACATGAAATATTTTTATTTTACCAAAATATGTATTATACACATACGTAAGCATACATATATGCACATACAATATATAGAATATATAATAATAAACAAATGCTTTGAGTAATGTGTTATGGTGGTGTACATAGGTACCTAGCACAAGTGTCTATATAAATTTAAGTTTAGTACCGGTCATTGTTTAATTTGTTTAAGTAACACAAGTGTCTATATAAATTAATCATTTGTATGCTAGTTCCTAGGAAATGCCTCGGAAATATTAAGGGAATACCGAGGAAAGTGTAGTAAGTACTACATTCGCAGGAAAAATGTAGGAACAATGACTGTATTCTCTACTAAACTCGGTATGATTTATTTTGTTACAAGGAAAAAAAATGTTAAAAAAATATTACTAAGAAAATACCGAGGAAAGTTGGGTATTGATAAGGATCCTAGAAAAAGCATAGGAAATACAGAGGGAATACCAAGGAAAGTGTAGTTAGTACAACTTTCATAGGAAAAGTGTAGGAACAATGAGTGTATCATCTACATAAACTTGATATGTTTTTGTTGTTACAAAAAAAAATGTTAAAAAAAATATTACTAAAGAAATACCGAGGAAAGTTAGTGTAGGAACTTCTGAGGGATTTCTGAGGAAAGCGCGTTTATGGTTATTAGAATTTCCTCGGTAATTGGTAGGTAGTACCGAGAAATTCATTTTCCTCGGAAATATCCGTAGGAAATCCCTCTTTTTCTAGTAGTGATGATAATGGGTGTCAAATTCCATAATTCTTTAAATTAGGGAGAACACTCAGTTGTTTAAGTAACCTTTCAAAATAGGTTGGTAACAGGTCATCCCTGACGTGTTTGAGAATTGTTGGTGATTTTGCCGATTAACAAAATTGGGTTATTTTCGTTGTATTTAATTTAAAATGTGGTTAGTTTATCGGTATCCCTTGACTTAATATTATAAATTAAAAGTGATTAGCATACTTGTTATCAATTATAAATGGAGATTGAATTATATTAGATCGATGAAGAAAGATGATTGCAAAGTTGACATAACACAAATTAAAACCAAATTAAAAGGGTTTTTGTATTACATTAAAGAACATGGCCATATTGTTGCAAGTTATTTAGGCCGAAGCTCAATTCCCTCCACGATAAGACCTTTCTTATAGCTTTTGTGCTCATCAAAGGCCATCTCAACCTCCCCATCAGCTCCTTCAATGCACTTAAATTCTCCCAACTCAATCTCCATCCACCCATCATTTCTCCTGCGAGGAAACACATTTTTCTCTTGCTGATATGGCACGTGTTGTGTTCCACCAGGTGCCTCTGGTCTTTGAAGATACACATTTTCAGTCACCATTTTTGTACCACAGAATGTTACTTTTGCTTCTGCTGGCACATCAAGTCCCTTGGACTCCCCAGTAGTTCGAAAGACAAGATACGCAACATATGTACAATTTCTTGACAACATCTCAGCTGATATTGTGCCATGAATCGCAAGCCAAGTTACTTCTATAACTGTGCACACCTCCGCGAACCTACACAAATGGCCAAGTATGTAATTGCCAAATGCACTATATATAACATATTATCTTATGTCCTGAGGACATAACATATTTTCCTGTTCAGGTTAACATACAAGGTGACCCTAAATAGAGAAAGAGAGAGACCTTGATTCAGGTATATGCTCCCATTTCCAGTATCGTTTGTCATCTTGCCATTCAATGGATAGAACTTTTGCCCCCAACATATAACACTTTTTTCCACTGATCTTGTCTATTTGGAAACTCTGTTTATTGAATAATTATGAGGCCAAGTTTTAGATGAACTTGTTTAACAATTATCACCAAAAGCTATAGTTTCCTGATCATGTATATCATTAATATGAACAGTGATAAGATATACCCAACAGTATATAAAATATATAGTTCTACGACTACCCTTCATATAAAATATATAGTCCTAACCTCAACAATTGTACAACTGTTCATATTACGGGAAAGAATTTCATACAATCAGGCACACAGATTGAAGAGGATATATTGACGTATTTAACAAGGAAAAAGGAAATAATGTATCATAAGGATAGCCGATTTACCAGATATCCACGATCGAGGAGGATATGTGAGTTGGATAAAGAGAGGTAGAGTTGCTTTTTAGAGCTAAATACCAGTTGAGAAAACGCCCTCGCAATGACTTCACGATAACCTGGTGGCAGAAGCGACTCCCAAACCGAATCTGCCTATAAACATGTATGTGTATGTTACAAATGGCGGATGATGCAACTGAATTTACCTGGAAATTAATCTATTGGTATAATATTGTGTTTATGGAGAAAATAGAGGTATTTTGGTTTCGAGACATGTACAATACAAAAGCGAATCAGTTTTGTTATAGAAAAACTAGAAGCACATATAAGAATATCGAATAATTTATTATATATTAAATGGTACATGCATGATAGTTTTCATTCTATCTATGAAAATATATTTGCTTGAAAATATCGAATGAAAGACTTACTTGAATATTCAGTGCTTCCTCAATCGTTGTGATGAGCTTATCCATCCTAGGGCGTTTGCTTATGTCCAAGCTAATGCACTCATGTGCAATTTTATTAAATTTATCAAAAGAACTCATATCAATCTGACCTTTCATAGCTGGATCTATTAACTTGTCAACAAATTTATGGTCGTCATAGTAGCTTCGGACGAGGTCAATCAGATATCGTCCTTTAGAATCTTCAATGCGACTTGGAATATAAGCCATCATCCCACTAGACATCTCAAACATTACGACTCCAAATGAATATATGTCGGACTCTTTAGTGAGCCGACTTCTTTCGTTGTAAATAGGATCCATGTAAAACCTTGTTCCAGCAACCTTTGTAAAGACACCAGTATCTGGCTCATTTGTTGAATCTAATCTTGACAAACCAAAATCACATATTTTGGCGTCCATATTATCATCTAACAAAATATTTGCACTCTTCATATCTCTATGAATTACTTCGCTGGACATCCTACCTGAGTGAAGGTACTCTATTCCTCTCGCTGCCCCCAAGCATATCTTCAGGCGTTGTTCCCATGTTAGGTGCCACCTCAGATTTGGGTTTTGGAGGTGATAATCAAGGCTTCCGTTCGTAGCATACGCACAAACTATAATTTTCTCATTCTCGTCATCACAGTAGCCAACGAATCGGATGATGTTTGAATGATCAAAACTTGCAACCAAATTGAGTTCATTAAGGAACTCCTTGTTTCCTTGATAACCATTATGATCAAGGCGTTTGATGGCTACTAGGCGGTGTCTCCAGTCTTTAGAGAGTTGTCCTCTGTAGACCATACCAAATCCGCCATCTCCAACCAGAGTTTCTGAACTGAAGTTTTCTGTGGCCCGGTTGATCTCCGTCAGTGGAATTCGATATTTTTCAAGGTTAAACCCTGAAGAAGACATTGTTTTTTATATATTGGTGGTTGTGTATGAATTATGATTATGGTAGTAGCAGCTTTTCTGTGAATATATATATATAGAACCAAGTTCACTTAGAAGCGCGTTATAACCGTGGACTAGCATCTATCAAGCACAGGGTTTATCTTAATTAGCAAGACATGTAAATTATAATAGGTGCAAGATCTAGTGGGAATAAAACTAAACCAACTACTACACGGAATGATCTCCTTCAGCGAAATTCTATATTTTTCTAACCGAGACATTGTTTTTTTATATTTCAGTGGAATTCAATATTTTTATAGGTTTACCCCACAACAAGACATTGTTTTTTTTTTTTTTTATATTTTTAGAGGTTTACCTTTGAATAATAAAACTAAAACTAACTAAAACTAAATCAACCACCTGGTGGCCTATCGGGTAAAACAAAGTGTTCAAGTCCTGATTAGAAGTTGTCTAAAAGAGGGTATGTGACATAGTCTTAGCATATCGCCTTCTCCTCTTATCCTCGCAAAACAGAGAGCCTCAATGGACAACTAGGAACCAATTTTTTTAGTGGGATAAAACTAATAGTGAAATCTCAACGTCTACCATAATAAAATAAGAATTTGAAATTTCACCAACCAAACATTAATCTGACTTGGTAATGTTGTCCTTTTTTGTGATTATTTATTAGTTAATTATAAACCTTGTTTATTTATTAGTTATAAACCTTGTTTATTTGCATTCACAACGATGTGATACCAACCAAACATCAATCTCACTTGGTAATGTTGTCCTTTTTGTGATTATTTATTAGTTATAAACCTTGTTTATTTGCATTCACAACGATGTGATATTGATACATGTCATACTCTCGGTTGTAATTTTTAAACAGAATAAAAAAGCATGTGGATCAACTATGAAATAGTCAAAGGAAACTAGGAACATCTACTTTGTCTGACTTTTTCTCATTTCGTGTTTAGTCAGTTAATTCAGAGTTTCAGAGTCGACGGGAATTTGGATTTAATTCTTTTTTTATGCAACACTATTATAGAAAATTAGGACAACTAAGGAGTGCTACATAAGAGCTAGATAAGTAGACACTCCAATCCAGACAAACACCTTTACAACGGCTAGAGATCCATCTATAAGATTGTACAACAGTAATCCCTACTCTAAATTTAGCTCTCTCCTAGGCTTGTTGTCTTTAAACAGCATCTTGTTACATACAAATTAAATGTACCAAAGGACCCAAAAAATGGAAAGAACAAATGCATCAAAACTCTTTTCTTGGGCACATATAAATAAGTTCGACTCAAAGGAGCATTATGCCATTTACGTTCATCCTAGAAGGGGGGAGGAATTCCCTACCAATGACTAAACTTTTCCCAAATTAAACCCGCTACTTCACACCTCATGAACATGTTGTGCCAATTTGTGGAAGCATAACCAATAATTAGGAAAGAAATGTAAAACAAATTAACAAAGAATGATCATGTAACATCTTAGAATTTAAGACCAAAAATTTCGTTTTTAATTAAGTTATTATAAAACCAACAATATAAAAACATTCATAATAACGTCTCGTATCAAAACCAAAGTCTCAATAATTAAAACATGATATCATAAAACAATATCAGAGTGTAATCCCAAAGATCTCATGTGCGAAAAATCATAGTGTGATGTGTTGCAATCGAGTCGGCTCATTTCCTTTGAAAACGAAGTACCTGAAACCAAAATTGAAAACCGTAAGCACGAAGCTTAGTGAATTCCCCCATCATACATACCATACCGATAACATACTGTCAGGAAATTCTAGGTTGCCTAACCTACCCATGTCAAGCAATTCTAAGGTGCTCGACCTACCCTGCCAGACAATTCTGGGGTGCCCGACCAACCATGCAAGGCAATTCTGGGGTGCCCAACCTACCCATGTCAACCAATTCTGGAGTGCTCGACCTACCCTGTCAGGCAATTCTGGGGTGCCTAACCTACCCATGTTAAGCAATTTTAGAGTGCTCGACCTACCCTGTCAGGCAATTCTGGGGTGCCCGACCTACCCATGTCAAGCAATTTTAGGGTGCTCGACCTACCCTCCGGTTTATCTCAACCAGCTACGGGTACTATTTCACCCCTACCACTACCACATAATAACATAACATAAACATACTGCTAGGCATGCATGGATACTGACTACCCCTTTGGTATCTTTCAATCGATATTCGGGGACTATTTCACCCCTGCTACCACTAACACATATAACAGAGCATCCTAGCACATAAAGCATATCAGATAATGGCAAACCAGATAATTATCACAAAGACAATCATCTAACAAACATCTCTTGCTAGTGTGTAACATCCCAAAAATACGACCCAATTTTTTTCGTTTAAATAGTAATAAAAATCATATACTGTTTGTCATATCATAAAGACCATGTGTCAAATATCTCAACTCATAATAAAATGTCGTGAAACACTGTATCAAAACAAACTTCCAGGATAAAGACTAAAGTTGTGGTGTGTGCGATGCCATCATCCCGAGCTCTTTCCTTTATTTGCGGAAGTACCTGAAACCAAAACTAAAACTGTAAGCACAAAGCTTAGTGAGCTCCCCCAAACTACCACATACCATACAATAACATATAAACATGTACTGGGTCTTGCCCACTACATCGGGCCGAAGCCCAGAAACTGCATCGGACCGTAGTTCGGAACTGACTGGGACCTTGTCCCCTGCATTGGACTGATGTCCGAAACTAACTGCATCGGACCAAAGTCCAGAACTGACTGCATCAGACCGAAGTCCAGAACTAACTGATCGTAGCATAGCATAAAACACATATCAACTAGCATAACACACATGATCATAAACTCATATATTGTATACCACGTCAGGCCGTAGCCCATAACACATAACACATAAATCCTATCTGAGCCACGAAGGCATCAAACAAACTAACAACTGCATCGGACCGAAGTCCGGAAACTACTACTAACTAAACGAGCCGATATTGTGGCCTTAGACCCGTTCCTACTAGAAGGAAACTCACCTCGTAGCCTAGCTGCTGAAAGGACTGCTCCGGAATCTGTCTGTTGCGTCTCCGGTTTCACCCCGGCTACAATATCCATGAGCACCATTAATCAAATACTGATAATAATAACACTGAGGGTAAAAATGACTCTCCTACCCCTGGTCCAAGTCAACCTAACTGTCAAAGTCAACATTTAGTTGACCTGACTCGTCGAGTTGGGCCGCCAACTCGTCGAGTCCTTACTCTTACTTCCTTGATTCCACTCGCTACTACTCATTGAGTTTTGGCGCAAAATCGGCGAGTTCCTCTTCGCTACTAACACTCTGACAATCTGCATCCGACTCGCCGAGTTGTATGAACAACTCGTCGAGTTCTCCTTCCTCAGATGATCATTCTAGCTGTGACTCGCCGAGTTGTATGAACAACTCGTCGAGTCTGTTCTTGAAGTATGAAGATGGCCTTGGACTCGTCGAGTTCTTCCACGAATGAGTCTAACCCTCCAGCTCACCGACTCCACTTCTCACTCACTGGTTCCACTTGGCATAACTCGAAAAAGGAAACACAGGGGACTCGCGACTCGACTCGCCGACTCAGAAGAGCGACTCGCCAAGTTGCATGCATGCAAACATTATATACTCGATTCTGCTTGAAACCATTCCATACCATTAATAGATCTGGGTTCATGGGACTTGATTTACACGTAAAGTTTCCAACTTTACGTTTAAATAACATCAAATGAAGGTTTTAAGGTTCAAAGCACAATATAATAGTAGATCTAGAGCTTTCATGCAAAATTGATCCATAAAGCTGTTAGATCTAAGCTTCTGGAGTTCAAATCTAGCTAAATCCGAAGGCTAATCAACTCCATGAGTCCTCTATGCTACTATTAAGCTAAGAAATGGTTCAAGAATGGCTTTAATGGCTTCAAAAAGGAGATTTAAGCATAGAAACAGAAAAGGGCCAAGATATACCTTACTTTCTTCTGAAATTCCTCAAGGATCTAGGATCTCCTTCTTCTCCTCTTGATCTACCTTCCTTTATCTCTCAATATCTTCAAATAACACACCAAAATCACACAAAATGAAAAAAGGACTCTAGGGTTTCGAGAATGAAGCTCTGAGGGGTGATGGGGGCTGACTTGAGGGCCCCAAAAGTTGTTTATATAGGATGCAAACCCTTGAAATTAGGGTTTCATCCAAACTGGCGGACTCGCCGAATCCGGGATATGGACTCGCCGAGTCACCAACTTAAACGTGCTCGAAATCGTGACCCAACTCGACCAGTCCGGCTACTGACTCGTTAAGTTCCCTTTAATACTTGAAGAAAAATAACAATAATTAACATTATAAATATCATACCATAATTGGGGTGTTACATAGTGGGTCGGCATTGTGACCTTAGACCCACTTCTAATGGAAGGTAACTCACCTCGCACTGCTGAAGTCTCGCAAACGAAACTCTAGCTGCTAGATGTCAGATTCCCGAACGGTTAACATCAAAATAACACCCAATTAATAATTGGGTTCCAACACATATCCATAAGTCCATGCTTGGGGTAAAAGACTACTTTACCCCCACCTTAGCTTGATTCCAACTCAAGGCCCAATCCAAAGGCCCAAAAGTCAAACTATGAATCAAAGCCCAACATATAACCTTATTTTCCAAATTGGGCCCAAACCTTTACATGGTCTTGTTCTAAGGCCCAAATATTTAGTCCAATCCAAACATTTGACATTTCTAATGGACCAATATCTCATAATCATAAAGGCCCAATTATGGCCCATCTATGGCCTAATTTTCCAAATTGGGCCCGAACCTCACATGGACCTTACCCTAAATCCCATCTATAAATTATTAGTCCATATGATTGTTCTTGGATAGCCCATCAATAGCCCAATCACCAAAGCCTAATAGAAAGTGTAACATCCTAATTTTCAAGACCAAAAATTTCATGTTGATACAACGATTTAGAAAAACATTTATAAGAAAA